TCCTATTTAATTCACGATTTTCAAAATTTTTTTGGGGTGCATTGTTTAAGCTTTTTTTTTTTTAAGGTTTGGGCTAGGATTTAGGGTTAGGGTTTATAATAAAAAAGAATATTTTTAAATTAAGGCTCCCAGATTCACGATTATCCGATTTCACGCGACATAGAAATTATTAACCAATCGACGATCTTTCATCCTACGTATTATAATTATCACTCTGTGACATTTATTCACCAATTGTTACAGCTACGTATGATGTCGCAGCTATAATTAAAACGAAAACATCAGACTTAAAGTTTATAATTTATGGAATTACGTGTAATACATGTTTTGAAAAGTTATTATTACTGTATATTGTATCGGTATATACTAAGATTTTTAAACTAATGAGGGTTGAAGATCTTTTTTAGCTATGGGATAATACAGTATAACTTTATAAAATTTTCTATAAGTATTACGGATTTTTTTTTAAAAAGTATTTAAATTGCATAAATAATACTGTATATAATTACCATAAACTTTAAGCTCCACATTCTTTTTAACTTACAAATTAATATAGTAAAATAAGAAAATTTTAAATATTATTCTGTTACAAAAATGTAGCACTTAAAGTTTATACGTAGTAAATTATATATATTTTATTTATTATAAACTAATACATTATGTATTACCATATGTGACATATTCTTGACTGGTAGCCGTAGCTTGTCGAATGTCCTTATAACAGTAGGCGATTCGCCTGCATCACGGTTTTTTAAGGGATTATACGTGTCTATTCGACTTTTTATAATTATCTGTAAAACTTTTAGTTCATTATTATATATTAGGGGGTTTCAAAGTTAATATCTAAAAATCTTATTTTATTTTTCCGCTTTATAATTCAACATAGTAAAAATGCTATTGAAAAAATCCTATTATTTTCGAAATGCGTCACTTATTTGTTAACTTTGAAACCCCCCATTATGATATTAAACCACTTACACTATGGGATTGGAAACTTGGCCTATTATGATATTAAATCACTTACCACCATGGGGATTAGGAACTGGTAAGATTTTATGAGCCTATCACAATATAAAAGGGTTTACAATGATTGGCGGTCCTGTGACTAATTAAACAACAATGATATCTTAATTTTTGTCCAAAAATTAATGTTTGCATTAATACAAAGTAGAAAGAATATATCTAAATTATTGTGCCAAAAATTTTTATTAATAGCAAAATGCTAATTTCCTTGCGAATTTATAAGTTTTTTGTGATTCTTGTTTTTTTCACCTTTAATTTTTACTTCGCATTTGTATGTTACACACTATTTCACTCGTCAAATAACTATACAGTTTTACTATCATCTCTGCTAAATTTAGTTATCCAAAGTCAGGTAAAAGTGCAGACATAATGCACGTAATATGTCATAAGTTACGAAAAAAAAAAAATGCTGTAACATTATCATTATAATTACAACAAGTTATTCCCGGGGAGTTAAATAATATACAGTAATATTTATTTTCATCTTTTCAGTGAATAATGAAATAACCACCCTAACCCGAGAATAATATTCCGTACTTACTCTTGGTCAACCCGATTAGCCCACTGATATAAATGGATATCCTTCAAATTGCGGCCAATAAATCCTATTAATGGCGTTCTTAGAATGTCCCCGATATGTAACTGATTGGTTCTATGTAAAAATCAGGCCATCTTATACGTAAGCCTAAAATAAAATCGACAGTTATATACACATTGGTACGTAAAAAAAAAAAAAAAAATAGTAATAATCAAATAAGGCAATTAAACAAGTTAGTGACACACGCTTTGGTTTTAGAGTACAATCTGAATCTTGATCTGTTAGGAATAAAAGTTATAAAATGTCCTCGATTTAGCCTAAGAAATCGTTATGCTCTCCGACAATTAATGAAATGTGCGAATCCAATCCTCTGCTTAATGAATCTATTAGCCTTCAGGATTTATTAATGTGCGAGTCCGACATAAATGATATTATGACCATGGTTAATACCAATCTTTCTACCGCTCAATCGTTTACTATGACTTCACCTGAGTTTGAACCTCAAATTCAAACAATGCTTGTCAATAATAATACAAAGAACTCTTCATATTCTCAATCTGGAGATTTGTCATTGAATAATTTTCAATATCCAGTTCCCTCTTCAGACATGCCTCGAGAGCCTTTTCTATATTCACCAAACTCTGCTAACATCGGTTCTTCAGAGCCTCTGTTCTATTCGCCAACTTCTAACGAAATCTCTACAGAAAACAACAGTTTCCCGAATAATCTTTCTCCATTAACTCATACACTCTTTCAAGATTTAAATGTTTCTCCAAATAACTCTGCATTGGCCAATTTTGGCAATTACTCTTCTTCAATGGAAGATATATTTGTTACACATGATACCCCATTATCTCCAGAATCTAATCTTGACTCCCGAAACATCCGGTCTGAAAATGGTAGAAAACGCGCCTCCACTGAATATGATACAATTTCTTTTGATGAATCCTTAAAAAAGAAAAGTAAAGGTACGAACAAAATTGTTAAATCTGTAAAATAAACAATACTTAGATATTTTAAAAGATCGGTTCTCCTATCAAGTTTGGGACAAATTCTAACATCAACGCCATATCTGTGAAGGTCCTTTGGCATCAAACACGCGTTCAAAATCTCCTGTGATTGATATAAATACCATTAAAACGATACTGGCTTCTTTGTATGATACCACGAATCGAACCGTCGAATCTTCTGGCACTAACCTT